CTGTGCTCTACATTTGATCTAGGCCAGGCCTATAGTAGCATTATAATTTCAGGCATAACCATAATTAATAGAAATTCTACTTATCTTTGTATTGTAGTTTAATAAATTTGCTTGAATAGCCCGTGTGTAGGCCTAGCGCTAAGTAAATAAAACGTGCCAAGGTGTGTATCGATCAAGCGCAGTTGAGCAAAACAAATTCATGTTGCCGTTTTTTGCACAACTGCGATTACCAAATTTTACGTCGAAGAAAAGTTGAAGACAACGGCAAATCGAAATCAGGCATGCGCAGTTGTGTCCACGCGTCATTAGGTCGTCGTAGAACTGGCCGCGTCTTCTTTCGTAAGCTCCCTATTTACGCAATAAAGGCCGCATGACTTTATGTCGCCATGAAACAGCCGTGTGAAAACTAGGAAGAATATCCAAGAATGTAGGGATACGCTCATATTCAGTACAAACAGAGGACGTCCACCACTACCGAAGGAATAGACGAGACCTCAGGAAAACAAGTGAAGTATTTAACAGAACCCAAGATGACAATGCTGACCCGCTCTTGCAGGACACCCAACAGGAAGCGGACCCACACCAACCGCAGCTTTCTTTACCACCTCCCAACCCTATAATCAGACCAAACAATGTTCCCCCGGGTTGGAGACCCATGACACGTCAAGGAAGATCCATTAGATTACCTTCTCACTTTAAGGATTATTAACAAACTTTGGGAAAAAAGGGGGATGTGATGAAATATATTTACATTAGTGTGCCCTCTGGCGACGAAGGATGGCAACTCTAGGCGGAGACTACCTAGAAGTGTGTTGCATGTACTGTTATTTTGGGAACTAAATAAAGTATTGAAGTGTTAGCTATCTCTGAGTATTAGTGTCATTCTTTGGTCAGTGTAATCTAGAACACGGTACAACGATAAACGACAAAAACTTTGTCAGAATGAGAAAGTTGCATGGTGGTGAGGCCGCTTGAGCTTGGCGCCAGGAGTCGACTGTTCTATTATTTTTTTAGGGGTGTTCTCATGTGTGAGAAAGAATAGGCAATTTGTCGGTTTATCCAGGTAAGTATTCACGAAGTAGACTGCAAATAACCTTATATAATAAAAAATTCAATTTAAAGTAAATTAGCAAAACTGGTATTTTTGAAATTGACTACAGTACGTCATATTAGTTGCATTTTTTCCCCGGGGGGCTCACTCTTCAATATCTTTAGACGGGTAGGTGCCGCATTTATGGTTGTATTTTTGAGGACTTGGTAGCACAAGCGTGGGAATTTATGGAAGAGTTTCAGCATGTATAGGGTACTTTATATTTGCGAGGACTTAATAGCATAAGTAGGGAAAATACCAGGTAAATTTAGTAGTTAAAAGTCCCTGCCCCGTCCCATATCAAAGTCGCATAATTTTTCACACGATGTTAGCAAAGATTTTTTGCTAACCTCCGTGCTAAACCTACCCTTGATACAGCCACGAACAGACAGAACCGTGGTCTTATTCGCCATTGGGAACAGTACAAGTTTAATTTGGTAGGTTTACATGGCCGTAATAGTAGTTCAACCGACACCGGATTTTTGTAAATGGTAGTTCAAGTCCCTAATATTTTTCAGTAAAATAGGTAGCGCAAGTGTCTCATGTCTTCGAGTGGCTGCTGCACGCCCCCACAAGATTGGTGTACAAGTGAGCCTCCCGGGATTTTTGCTGATTTCATTTAGTAGATTATTCCAAAGGTTTGCTTTCTTTGAGTATTTTCCTAGTTTGGTACTACTGAGGTTTTAATTGCTTTGACTTTGACAAATTTAAATTATGTTTTAACGTTGATAAATCCAATGTCCTTATTACTGGACAAGAAGTAAACCAACTTAAAAAATGGAAACTTCAAAATGAATGTATTTCAGAAACAGATAGCTATAAATATTTAGGAGTAATTATCTCTCGTTCATTGACCGACACACATCACCTCGATGAAGAATTTAAATAAGGAAATAGAATCATTGCGTATATTAAATCCATCATTAATGAACAAGATAACTTCAATAGGATTTTTTATGGAAAATTATTATGGAATGCTATCGGATTGCGCTAAATAAATTACGCTTTTTCGGTGTTGATTTAAAAATTTACAATATCAAATGGGCAGAAAAATCCTCAAAAGCCCTGAAACGTTGCAAAGGAATCCGTATATGGCGACCTAGTTTGGCAAACCATTCAATCCATTCAGAACAAGTTTAGATTATCATATTTTAATAGACTAAAATGCATGGATGAGGATAGATGGCCTAAACTATTGTCAAAAGCCATCCTACAAGTACAAGACACTATAAAATAGAATTGGCTATATAGGATCAAAAGTCTACTACAAAAATGTAATCTATTGGATGTTCATAGTATTAGTACAGAACCCGAGAATCGTAACTGGTTAAAGCTATTTAAAATTGAGAACAAAAACAATGACACTAAAGAATGGTACGAAAGGGCAAAACAAAGTCATCCCTTGTACCGGACATTATTTACTAGATCAAACAAATTTTACTGGTGTAAATCGAAAATTTAAGGCACGGTCTAATTCATTGGAACTCGTAGGTAGAAAACAATCATGGTCACCTGAAAATTCTGGCATATGTAAAATATGTAATGATGATAAAAGAGAAACAAATGACCATGTTATATTCAAATGTAATGGACTTCAAACAATCAGGGATGACCTACAGTATTTGAATATATATAGTATTCTCCAACATATTTGGGATGATTTTGAAAAAAGCTCTATGGAATATAAACATCATTTGTTTTCAGACAGCTTAGCAGAGATTAATATTGATTATTTAGGCAAAATTTTTGATCATTATTGTAAAAAATACCTCACTGCCGCTCGGACATTTAGGGAAAATAGGCTCCCAGCGGAAGCGTGTGTCTACTGCCCTATACAGGAGTTTTTGTTTTTTAAAATTTTATCTTATGTTCTTCAATAATGCAGATGTGTGTATTACTGTAGTGTATCTGGATATTTCATGAAAATTTTCTTTCTTAATATTTTGTATAGGCCTACTATGTACACTGAAAACACTTTACAAATGAGTAACTCCTGGAGCTGTCTCTTATACACATCTAGATGTGTATAAAAGACAGCTTTGCTGAATATGTATTCCAATATGTTTGTATGTGTTTTTTTTTTAAATTTAGGTTTCATCATTTCATTCTTATCTTCTTGCAAGAACGGCCTTGTGAAAAACACCAATATGGTGATACAAGTTTTCTCCGGTTTAAAATAAAGTTGTTTTATTATATTATTATATTAGATTATATATCAGCAATAAAATATTGGATTACAAAGATATAATGCCATTTTGTTATTTCTCACTAATTATTTTTTGTGAAAAAATATATATTTATATCTAACCTTGCAAAAAGTTCTGATCATGAAATGTTCTTATGATATACAATATTTTATTCTATTAGTCACAAAATGTTGTATAAACTGCATATTCGCTGTATCAAGCAATTTAAATAAAAAAAATCTTTCACTTTTGTCGGGGTGACTTCCCGGCCCTAAAAAATATATTACCGTCATGTACAGAATGAATTAAAAATATTACTCTTACTATTAATTTGGGGAAGT